GTCTGTGGGCCGGTGAGGGAGATCTTTGATCTCCCCACCAGCCCATGGATTCACATAGCAGGGCTGGCGCTCGGATAGCGCTGACCCTGCAGGGGCCGGCCGGGGAGATCCTGGGATCCCCCTGCCGGCCTCGGCCCCACGGCCATCGCGGCCCACCGGGCATTTGCCCTGTATGCCCGATGGCCAGTCCGGGCCTGGTTGGCGGCATATAGTCGCAACCTGCAGCTAATAGGAGTTGTGGGAAAGAGGGGAGATGGATTAATCTGAAAATTGGGCAGCATACATTTAAGTATATGGATGCACACAATAAAACACATTTGGAGATATATGAATACACCTAATGGGACGCAGTAAAAACACCAATAATAACATGAATAAAAACAGCCTATTGTTAATAAAACATGGTGATTTCAGGAAGAGAAATACAAGTATAAATAAAAATAACATTATATAAAATTGAACAAGTAAAAGTCTACATTTAGACCCTGGGGGGTTAGTGTTTTTAGGTTAAATACCCATTCCATCTCTGTTTTACCCAAAATATTTTTGATGTTACCGCCTCTCCAGGGGGTGACATTTTTTGATACCAATAAATTTGTGTAATCTTGTATCATTGTTGTGTATACAAAAGTGTTTTGAGACTGAGTGATTTAAGTATTCCATTCTTATGTTTCTACAGTGTTCACTCAGTCCGGTTTTTAGGCTTCTTGCCGTCATGCCTACATACTGGAGGCCACAGGGGCACTCCAGTAGATAGATTACTTTTTTACCATCACAACTAATACAATCTTTAATAGAATATGTTTTATTTGTTATGTTTGATTAAAATAAAGTAGTCTTTGGTGGGATAGATGGGTATTTTTACAGATAATACATCTTTTATGAATGTACTATACTAACTATTGTAGAGATTCAAGTATAATTCTTACAGTACTAGCAAGTGAAACTACAGAACAATCACTACTTATATTACAAAGTAACACCAAGTAAACCTCTACATACATATTTCCAAGGAAAACAATTGAAAAGCCAAGCAATCTTTCCCATTTGCTATATTAAATGTTCTAGTTTAGAATGTTGAAATGCAACTACAAGCCACAAGCATGTGTTCAATAGAACATATAACAAAGACACGTTACCAGTCTGGCATGGCTGAACTGTAAATAATAAAAGAAAAGAAAACATGTTTGTGCATTTTTTTCTATTTTATTTAGAAATTTGGATACATGTTCTGAATGCCAAAATTCCACAGAGAATGCTGAATACAATACATTACAAGAAAATGTTTAGGCTTCAGTGTGAAGCATGTATGATGCTTAGGGACTCTCATTGTATCTCAGTGGTCCACTAACTGACACTCTGATGTGGTCAACACCATTGCTAATGGGTAGGACTTGGTGCGGATGTCAACACAGAGGCTAATCGGTTATGGGGCAGCAAACAGTACAAAATGGCTTGCTCCAGGGGTCCTTTAACTTTTTTTTTTTTTTTCAAGAAAGTAGACAAGTAGAAAACCTGTCACCATAAGATTTAGTTTTGGTCTTGTAAATGCCTTTGAGCAGAGTAAATAAATAAAATAAAGATTGTGCAATGTTCCAAGAATATTATCCCAGTGTTTAGCATGTAGAACAAAGGAGTATTTAGATTGACTGAAATTTTTTTTTAAAAGAATCACATGACCAATACATGAGCAGTACCTTTCCAAAAATATTCCCTATTGCCAGAAAAAAAATGTCATGTTTATTTAGATTGGTGTTTAAGTTGATTAGACGTTTTCCAAGGACTCCCATGAATAAATGCAGGAATTGAAACAGTCACCCTTTGGCCAGGGATGGATAAAGAACAGATGGGACTCCGAAGACAAAGTCCCAATATATACTGCATATTATTTTTCTATAAGAATTATTTAACCCCTTCCATCCCAACCATGTGTATAGATATGCTAACCTATGTTTTAAACTGCAAAATAATTCATCCAACTCACATTCTACAGCAAGCGTGATGCTTATGCTAACTGACAGAAGAAAGGAATCAAGGAAAGCTATTTCAATTCTTTAATTGCATTCCTTCATATCCTGTATTATGTGTAGTTATCCTTAATGGATATGGGTATTATATTTTGAAAAAAGTAATGCTAGTGAAAGAGTTAAAGTGACACTGTAGTCACCAGAACAACTACAGCTTATTGTATTTGTTCTGATGAGTAGAATCATTAACTTCTTGCTGGAAACACTTTTTTTCCAGAGGAAATGCAATGTTTACATTAAAGTCTAGGGATACCTCCACTGGCCATTGCTCAGATGGTTACTAAAGGTGATTCGTGGGGCAGTGCTGCACACTGTGCCGCACTGCCATTCAGTGTTGCACACTGTGCCGCACTGCCATTCAGTGTCTCCACGCTCTGCATGGAGATACTAATCTTTCTTCATAGAGATGCATTGATTCAATTAATCTCTATGAGGAAATGCTGATTGGCCAGAGCTGTATTTGGCTTGTGCTGGCTCTGCCCCTGATATGCCTCCTTGACAGTCTCAGCCAATATAATGCTTTCCTATGGGAAAGCATTGTGATTGGCTAATATCATAACTTCTAAAGATATCAGCCAAGCAGGCAGTTCAGGGGCAGAGCCAGCAGCAGCAGACTCTAATACAAATAAGAATATATATACATATACATACACACACATATATATATATATATATATATATATATATATATATATATATATACACACACATATATACACACACACACACACACACGGTAGGGCCAGGGGGGCTAGATGGAGTTTTTAACAATGTAGGGTCAGAAATACATGTTTGTGTTCCTTACCTTATAGTTTTCCTTTAATAGGAAAGAAGCCAGTGGGTAAAAATGATTAGTGCTTTTTATATTTGTAGATAAAAAGTGATTTAAAATGAAATCAAATGCACAATAAAACTGACAAATTTGGAATGCAATGCAATTTGAGGTTTCATAAAAAAAATTAGTTCCTATAGCTGTAATAGAATAACAACAACCTGCTTATAATCAAAATAGATTTCTATATTTGGGCCTAACTTTGCATACACTATAGTCATCTAACTTTGTGTAGCCTCTGCACTATCTCGCTACACAGAAGTCACTGCATCTCTCTGACTCTCTCATTCTGTTAATCTCCTATGTACAACCTCACTGCCCAATTTCATCTACTAATTTGGCTCGTTGGATCAGATAGTTGCTATCCCTAGCAGATATTGAGTCTACCTTCAGAGCACACTCAGTCAGGGGTTTCATTAAAAAAATTAGTTCCTATAGCTGTAATAGAATGACAACAAACTGCTTATAATCAAAATAAATTTCAATATTTGAGCCTAACTTTGCATACAAATCCTCTTAAAGGAACACAATAGTCACCAAAACAACTTAAGCTTAATGATGCAGTTTTGGTGTATAGATCCTGCCCCCGCAATTTAACCACTTAGTTCACGTCCATTTAGGCGTTAAATCACTTTTGTTTCTGTTCATACAGTTCTAGCCACATATCTCCAGGCTGTGACTGACATAGCCTGCTTGAAAACAAATTTGTTTTATTTTAAATTAAATGTTCACTTACTTTAAACATTTTTATCTCCTGCTCTGTAAATTGAACTTTAATTATATACAGGAGACTTCTACAAGCTATTTATAGAGCAGGAGATAAGAAATTGTAAATGAAACAGAACTTATTATAAAGGAAGTGTAAACATTAGATTACTCTCTACAGGAAGTGTGTAGGAAGGCTGTGCAAGTCACATGCAGGGAGGTGTGACTAGGGCTGTATAAACATAGTGATTTACCGCCTTCAAGGCAGAGAATTAAGCAGTGAGACTGCAAGGGCATGAACCTAAAGTTGTTTGGGTGACTATATTGTCCCTTTAAAAAAAAGCAAAGCTGTAACTTCAGATCCAGTTCCGCACATCTTATTAACTGATAACCATCAGTGTATATTGCCTACCACCAAACTTTGAAAGAATACAAAATAGAATTGAAGAAGGTATGCAAATTTGGAAAATTCTACCGTGTTTCCCCGAAAATATACCCTAGCTTACTTTCGGGAGATGCTCCTAATATAAGCCCTACCCTGAAAATAAGCCCTAGTCGTGAGCTAATCTATGTTCTGGGAATTTTCCCTGAACATAGATTCACGGAATTCCATTTGCGAGTAAACTTATCTATGTTCGGGGAAGTTTCCCCGAACATAGATTTGCAGGATTCAATGCCCTAGTGAATAGGTCTATGTTTGGGGGGAATTCCCCGAAGATAGGCCTGCTTTTTGGCACACATTTTTTTCCAGAAATAAAACTTTCCCCCAAAAATAAGCCCTAGTGCGTTTTTCGGGGGAAAAATTAATATTAGACCTGGTCTTATTTTCAGAGAAACATGGTATATATATATATATACACACCTCTCAAGCAGTGGCACAACTACTGCCTCATACTCTGACACAGACAGATTTTAGTGGACCCCAAGGAAGCCACCCTATTGCACCTAAAAAGTATGGAGACAGAGGGTGCCTACATATATAGAAATGATGACTTTGTATTTGTCAGTGTGTATATGTGCGATTGTGTGTATAAGTGTCAGTATGTGTGTATTTGTGTGGCAGTATATGTCCTTACATCATAGCATTCAAATGTCAACACTACATACAAACACACCCCTGCATTCAAACGCAAACACTAAACACAATACAACATTGCTTTCAAATGGCAACAAGAAATACAAGAGCAAAAAATGGGTCGCAAGAGTATTCTGAGAACGGACAGCAGCTAAAATAGCCTGCCCTTGGGTCGGTCCCCGCTCAGAACTCAAGCTGGTTTTAGCTCATCTTGTGCCATTACAGAGAGAACATATCTGAAGCATATCAGACTGGTCCCACCCATACGGGCAGTCCAGATCCGAAATGCCAGCAAGTTCTCTCTGCACGAGAGATACAGCACAAAACTGCATTCAAATTCCATCATCTTGCCGACCTCGAAACTCAATAATAACAAGGGGACAGGCTGTACAGTGCCCTGCTAGGGTGTAAGTACGAAAAAAAAAAAAAACATACTTTGAATAGGGGGAAGGAGGGAAAATAGTATTAAACAATCCTATTTTCACTCCTTCCCCTTATTCAAAGTACATTTTTTTCATACTTACACCCTAGCAGGGCACTGTACAGCCTGTCCCCTTGTTATTACTGAGTTTCGAGGTCGGCAAAATTGCTGACCTCGCTTGCATCTTACTGGGAACGACATCTCCCATCAAACCTAGCGGCTGGCATATATAGCCGCGCACGTGAAGTGCGTCACATGCTCCGGCTTCTCTATGATACTACTGTTTACTACATGCTCAGTTTTTTTAAACCTAATATGATATTAAAGGTCTAATACCTAATGTCTAACAGTTTATATTATTGTTTGCTTTATTTGAAATGCATATTTTAATGATATATGCTGATTGGATGATTAGCCTATGACATAATTTTGGCGCCCATTTTAAAGTGTCCTTCCCCTATATATACTCTTACTAGCCAGGTTGTATGTTTTTATGTAATTTGAGAAAGCCTTATTGGTGAAACGCGTAATGGTTATTTTATATTGTGTATTTTAAGATCAAGTAAAAGTTTTGGTTACTTAACGTGCCAATTCTCTTTTTATTGTATTTTTACATTCCTGGCTTTTTACTGTTGTTCCTGCACTTAAAGAAATCCCAGGTGGGGATCATACCACCAACGCTTTACCAATAGAGCAGTGTTTCTGCTCTATACTTGTAAGTATTATTTAAGTTACTTTTCCTTACTTTTATCTAATTGAGAGCACTATTGTCGCCTCTTTATCCCTTGTGGAGCCTTGGATGACCAGACTGTGTTGGCAGACATACTCCTTTTACATATCCCAAAAGCGAGGATCATATCCCTGCATGTCATTCACACCAGAGCTGAATCATAGAGAATCTATAGAAATTATCATTTAAGTAGAAAACAAAATAAACCCCCCCCCCACCCCAAAAAAAGTTTCCTCTGCTGCACATCTGCAGTGTAAGGTCATCAAATTCCATGATGCCTCAAATGTCAGCATGGGCACTATAAGGATTCATTCCGTATGTGAATACGCAGTCTCTAGCAGTGCCAAACATGTGCCTGCATCACGCGCAAACCTCTGTAAGAGTTACATGTTATACCTACTTGGCTGTAATGCACAGATAAACACATATAGCGGATTTCTAATGGAAATCAATGAAAAGTGTTTCTTTGGAAAAAAAGATGGTTGCTAAAAAGTACATTTTTGTTTTGTTTGTTTTCATAAACAAAAGAATACTACACATTAGGTATCAACTAAAAGACGGGATATATCTGCATGTATGTGCAGAACATCTCCTAAAAAGTGACTGTTCATTGTTAAACTGCAACAATGATTTATTTGTTTCTAAATGCCTCCATTGGACACCTCGGCTCTTTAAAAACTTCAATAGCCTTTACTTATATAAAAAAAAGGAAATATTTGCACTATATAAATGACAGTTCCTCTTTAACAATGTGTGGTCATTAAATCCCAGTAGGTTAAGTAGTGTAATACAACAGGACAGTGATTCTCGCACAGTGATCGATGGGAAAATAAACATCTACTTTCACACTAAATTCATCCTTTGGGTAATATAAAGAGAATGTGTTCATAGGGAAAATGTGTGCAAGAGAACAGTATGTTACTATGAACTTCAAATGATAAAAATTAGGTTGAAGCGATTAGTATTTTAAGGGTTTTGTTGTTTTTGGTTTGTTTTTGTTGTGAGGAAGATTATTTACCAATATGTTCCTCACATTCAAAACATTTAATATCAGTCAAATCAACAGATTTCCGGGTTGTGACACATCAAACATTTCAAGTGAAACCAATTGCTCAAACCCAAACATGCTCTTTTTGGTTCTTAAATCTGCGTGCCATTCCTGGCACCAGGAAAAAAAAGGGGGGATGGAATGGAGAATAGTCTTTTTTTTTATATCAGGCAAAAGAAGTAGGTTAGTGGACAAGAGGCCTGACAATCATGTGGGTTGGAACTCCTGCCAAGTCAGAAGATATTAAAAAAGGATGACTGATGTTAAAGGAACACTATAGTCACCTAAATTACTTTAGCTAAATAAAGCAGTTTTGGTGTACAGATCATTCCCCTGCAATTTCACTGCTCAATTCACTGTCATTTAGGAGTTAAATCACTTTGTTTCTGTTTATGCCGCCCTAGCCACACCTCCCCTGGCTATGATTGACAGAACCTGCATGAAAAAAAAAAACTGGTTTCACTTTCAAACAGATGTAATTTACCTTAAATAATTGTATCTCAATCTCTAAATTGAAGTTTAATCACATACAGGAGGCTCTTGCAGGGTCTAGCAAGCTATTAACATAGCACGGGATAAGAAAATCTTAATTAAACAGAACTTGCAATAAAGAAAACCTAAATAGGGCTCTCTTTACAGGAAGTGTTTATGGAAGGCTGTGCAAGTCACATGCAGGGAGGTGTGACTATGGTTCATCAACAAAAGGGATTTAACTCCTAAATGGCAGAGGATTGAGCAGTGAGGCTGCAGGGGCATGTTCTATACACCAAAACTGCTTCATTAAGCTAAAGTTGTTCAGGTGACTATAGTGTCCCTTTAAGGAGACAGACACAAAATCTTAATTTTGTTCACATACCAAATGAAGTGACCAATAGAGGTAAAAAAAGGAGGCTTCCAAGCAGGATTCTTCTAGACACTTTGACTTCAGCTACTGACGGGAGACAGACCAGCAGTGATCCGGTGTGTTTTATCCTTGCTGTATTGGAGCGAGAAATAGCTTGGGTCATTGATTCCAGTGCGAGACTAGCTGTAGCTTGAGGACTGCAGACACCTTCACAGCCATTGCTGCCACCACCACAACCACTTTTAGTAGCATTCAGCCTCAAGATAGGGATAAGCAGCATGACCGTTAAGTCTGATTCACCCACAAGGAGGCAAATTAAGGTTTCTCAGCCTTATCATGCTGCTGTAGTGCATGCTGGTGCTTCTGCCAACACTGGCAGTTTCTTCTAGCACAGCTAGGTAAAGGCACCTGCCTTTTATGGTGGATGAAGCAAGGTATCGGTGAAACGAACCAATGCCAGTGTTGCCATCGCCTGTGGTACTCCTTATTTCTTGTAGCCCTTCCCAAGAAGCAACTAAGGTAGAGGTCAGCAGATACTTTATCAGTGCTATCAGAGCTACAATTTTTTGAAGAGGTTGAGCAGAGTACCCAAGTAGAGCCCCTAATGCACTGTTTTTGTGAGGAGTAATCTAGTGATGAGCTCACACTCTCCTCACCACACCAGACATCTGTTAAAGTCTGCCCAGAAGGAAATCTATTATGATACAGAGGAATTAGAAAAGGAGAGTCTGTAAAAGGCAATGCACTAATGCATTATTTTCTGGATCAACTGTGCACTCGCCACTTTGTCTATCTCTGCAGTAGAATAGCCTAATTTACTTGAAACAGTTGGAGCATCATCTCCTATTTGTACCATAATAATCTCACTTAGCAAAATTATAATTAACCACCAACTTTCTTCTCATTAGCATTAGTCAACCATGTGCTAGTTTAGATGCTAGTGTTGTGACAGCTTCCAAAAATGCAAATCCCCCTGCATCTTTATCAGCCACAAGGCTCAGGTTGAGATGGATAGATTGAACCAGAGCAAAATTTGCCAAACAGCCTCCCAGACTGGAGTTGAATTTTGTATTAATGCGGTTAGCAGTTTGTTGGCAGCAAGTGAAGTAGCAAGCACCCAAAAGGAGAATATTGCCTCTGAAATGATTAGCACTTACCTGGCTGGATCCACTGGGAAGAGAAGATGAGCGTGTGGCTTGCTCTGTGCCTAGTTATCCATCGGCTATTATGTCCACTGACCATTGTACCCACAACTGATGGAGAAAATACTTGGGTTACTCTGCTCTTCGGTGTACTACTTGTGGTGTAATTTTTCCCTTCAAAGTTCTTATTAAATGTGTAAAACTATTCTAAAAACTGTGGTGATGAAAAAATAATTACATTCTCCTGCTACTGGGCTGCTGTTCCCCTTTTTTTTTTTTCAAAGGCCTTTAAATTGTAGTGATTTTGCCCTGCCTGACTGACTCTTGAGGTGCCTGCTACCTCCACAGACACAGTAGGCATAAGCTGATAGCGCACAGTTTTTCCTGCACTAAAGGACAGTCACTGATGAGAGGAGGAGGGGAGGAGGAGGAGAGCTCCCCTGCCCGGCGCTGGAGAAAGAGGTAAGTTTAACCCCTTTCCCCCTTCCAGAGCCGGGCGGGAGGGGGTCCCTGAGGGTGGGGGCACCCTCAGGGCACTATAGTGCCAGGAAAACGAGTATGTTTTCCTGGAACTATAGTGGTCCTTTAAGTAATCTTTGGTAGAGACTACAGATCCGCCCCAGAAAAACTGATGACACCTCTATAGGCTGCATCCTCTATCGGCACCAATACAATTTTAATGCATTTGATAGATGTTGGCCTCATTAATGTTATGTTATTTTTGCATGATCAAATCTTTATAGTCTTTGTACATAAAAAAATAAAATAAAAAAAAATAATGTTTTGCCAAATGTTTCACTATAAGCTTGCCTCCTTAACTACACCTCCTCACTCCAGGAAAAGACTGTATTAAATGTATATAATCATCTTTACCCATTGATAGCAACTTTTAATGTAGGTAGGCGTTTAGTTCAGATCTCTCTTTGAAAGGATAAGTCACCCAGAGAGACAAAGGATAATTTCTCGGACTGTCTGCAGCCAGGTTGTGAATTCAAAGCAGCTCACTCAGGACTGTTAAGGGAGGTGCTATGTACCCACACTCTGATGAGGAAGTCATTCTGGCACAAAGGGGCGTGGCTAAAGAGAAACGCTTCACCTGCAGATTTTATATATATATATAAATATTTAAGTAGGGAAAAAATATTGCATATTAAAATTACATCAGAACCTATCAAATGCAATGCAGCTGTATCGAATGCAATGCAGCTGTCTGAAGTGTCCCTTTAATGCAATATTAGCAAATGTACATAAAAAGAATACAGACACAATGTTTAACAGCTATTCAATCTTTGTCAAATATGTAAAAGAACCAAACAAAATCCATTAATGGTCTAGATATAAATCTCTATTCTTCCAAGATAATTATTCCAGTTCATCTATTTATAC